TGATCATGAGTGCTTGATGCTAAGTTAATATCATCTACTTTTCATGCCTCGAATATGCTCTTGCAGTAGCATATCAAGATCATCTACTTTTCATGCCTCGAATATGATTTTGCGGTAGCATATAAAAAAAAAGAGTTTAAGAAATATTATGAATCAATTTCATATTTGCTCATGGCTAAATAAAATGAAAAGCTATTGATGAAAACGAATAAATCTCATCAAATTGGATCTATTCCATTCCCCGAAGTGAATGTGACAATTTATAATAATTTTAGACATGGATGAAGATGTAGTCATAGCCATAGATGTTGTCAAAATAATTATCATTATAATTGTGATGACTATAATATTACATCTTACCATCGAAGTGGATAACTATGAAAAAGAAAAAGAAAAGAATGAAAATAGATAAAGTCAACATTCCGAAGATGAATGTTATAAATATGGTATGAATGGACATTAGTCGTGTACACTGTCGTACACCAAAGCACCTCATCAAGCCTTGTCAAAGCTCGTTGAAAAAAAATATATATATAGAGGCTAATTTTATTTATCAAAGTAATAGTAATTGAAATTAATTATTTGTTAGTTTTTCTATTTATAAATAAAATGTTTTAATTTCTTATAATTTATGTTGTATATTAATGGTTACAAATATATTTTACTATTTATTTATTTATTTGTGTTTATGAGGAATATATTGATTTATTTATTTGATTATTTATTTTATTTTAATATTATATATGATAATATCAATCTAATAGAAAGCTCTAGAAGAGCGACTATATTATTATCTAAAGAGATAGATTTTGAAGGCTCTAGAAGAGCGATTATATCATGACTTGAAGAGACAAATTTTTAAAAGTCTAGAAGAGTGAATAAATTATTACTTGAAGAGAAATGTTTAAAGGCTCTAGAAGAGTCGATATATTATTACTTGAAGTGACTAATTTAAAGGCTCTAGAAGAGCAAATATGTTATTATCCGAAAGGATAAATTTATTATGAATGATGTACTATTCTCTTCAAAGTCTTATAGAAATTTGTTAAGTTTCAAAGATACTCATCCGATTTGATATCATATTAAGATAGCAAATGTGAATACTTATATGTTATAATCATTATATCGGGTAGAAAATATCTATCAAAAAATTTATCTCGTTTTCTCTTCTAGTATTTATTACAAACATTGAAATGATTGAAACAAATATTGTAGTAAATCGAAGTTTACTAATTCAAATACTTTTATTATGTGATATGACCAGTTGTTCTATCTTGGGTCTTTCATGATGCAAAAAATTATTAAAAATTCATATGGATATCTATTGAAGAGCCGGAAGATTCTTCAATTTAATGAACTTTCATGTGCTTACATGTTACCAAGAAAAATTGATGATTAAGTCATCATCAAGTAAAATTGAGATTGAATCTCCAGGTATTTTAGAATGTATTCAAGGTGATATATGTGGATCAATTCATCCACCATGTGGACCATTTAAATATTTTATGATTTTGATAAATGCATCAACAAGATGGTCATATATATGCTTATTATCTACTCGAAACCCGACGTTTTCGAGAATGCTAGCGAATAATTTGATTTCAAGCATAATTTTTAAATTATACCATTAAAACAAGTCATCTTGATAATGCTTGATGAATTTATTTCTCAAGCATTAAATTATTATTGATTGGCTATTAAAATAAAGGTTGAACATGTTGTTGCTCATGTTCATACTAAAAAAGGTTTAGCAAAATCATTTGTCAAAAGGCTCGAATTGATAGCTAAACCGTTATTTAAAAATAAAACTCTCTGTTTATGTTTGAGGACATGCAATCTTACATGCAACAACACTTATTCGCATATGACCCATGAGTTATCGAAATTCTCTCCTCTTTAATTGATTTATGGTCATTAGCCAATTATTTCTTGTTTAAGAATTTTTAGCATTACGAGTGTATATCCTTAGTGCTCCTCTATAATGAAATAAAATGAGCACTTAAAAGAGATTGAGAATATATGAATCCTTTTCGATAATTCAATCTCTTGATTCATGAACAAGAGGAAATTTTTACGGCTCGATTTATCAACTTGTCATTTTGATGAAATAGTTTTTTTAACATTAGGGGAGAGAATAAGCAAAATAAGGAGTTGAAAATGTTGAAAAAAAAAGATTACATGGAGTACTCTATCTTATATCACCTTGATTCTTGTAGAAGATAATGTGAACTAGAAGTTCAAAAGATAATTCATGTACAAAATATTGAAACCAACTACCAAATGCATTCTCGGATCTTAAATGAGTAACTAAAATGCATGTCCTCGCGAGAATGCTCCTATTATAATTAATGTCCCGGAAGGATAATCTATTAATATTATAGCTAACGAATTTAAAGCACGCCCGAAGCGTGGAAGACCGATCGGTTCTAAAGATAAAAACCTCTAAAAGAAAAGGGCAAGATGAAAATATTTACAAAATGGTCCAATATATTTCGATCATAGGCTTCCGAAGAAGTCCAAATACTTGAGAAAAATCAAGAGATTTTGATAAATTATATCAATGCGAGGAGAAAATAGGATTGAAAAGAAATATCTATTGATAAGACTTTTGCATATAATATTACAATTGATATTATGGATGAAAATAAGGATCCCGGGCCTAAATTATTGAAGAATATCGACATAAAGATGATTGGCCTAAATGAAAAGAGCAATCTAGGTAGAATTATGTTCTCTTATAAAAGAGTAGTTTTTTTAAACCCATAACTAAAACACTCGAAGATGTTAAGCTAGTGGGATACAAATATGTATTTATGAGAAAATGAAATAAGAAAGATGAGATTATAAGATATAAAGCAAAACTTTTAACATAAAAGTTTTCATAAAAAATTGACATTGACTATGAGGAAAGATATTCTCCTATAGTGGATGCAATTGTACGTTGTTATCTCATTAGCATGAAAAAATATATGAAAAACATTCATATACATGCATTTAATGAATGTGATCACGGTTTATTTGTTCATTTGAAATGAAATAAGTATGAAAGTCCTAGAAGGACTTGACATGCCGAAGCATGTGATACATATTCTCGAGATAAAAATTCAATTAAATTATAGAGATCTCTATTAGGATTATTTTAGTATTTGTTTTGTTATTTTGGTTTTTAGAAATTCAATTTATACTTTTTATATTTTATTTTTATATCTTCTTTTTATTACTAACCCGTGTGCATATGATATAATCACTTCAATGATTATTTGTTGAAAGAAAGTTATATAAAAAATAACCCTATTTGTTCATATGTTTTTATTTGAAAAAGGGTTTGTTTTATATGTTGATAACCTAAATATTATTGGAACTCCCGAAGAGATTCCAAGTGTTACAAGTTACCTAAAAAGAGAATTTGATATGAATATCTTGGAAAAATAAAATGTTATCTCGACTGCGGTTTGAGCACTCGGAAAATGAGATTTTCATTCATTAGTCAATTTATATCAAAAAAGGTTCTACAATGATTCTATATAAAGATCATTCATTGACTAGCCCAATGGTAATTCATTTATTTGATATCCAAAAAGGCCCTTTTTGACTTCGAAAAGATAACGAAGAACTACTTGGTCCCGAAGTACCATATTTTAATGCTATTAGTGCATTGATGTATCTTGCTAATAATATCCGACTCGTTATAGTCTTTTCTATAAATTTATTAGCAAGTCATAGTTCTGTTTCAATATAGAGACATTGAAATAAAGTTAAACATATACTACGTTATATTCGAGGAATAATTGATATGGGCTTATATTATTCCAATAAATCAAATATAAGATTAATTGACTATGCGGATGCGGGTTATTTATCTAATTTACACAAAGCTCGATCACAATTGGTTATATATTTACATATGGAGATACAACTATATCTTGGCGTCCTATGAAGCAAACCACAGCTACAATATCTTCAAATCATGCGAAATATTAATTCACGAGGCAAGTCAAGAATGTGTTTGGCTAAGATCAACGATCCATCATATCCGAGAGACATGCGGTTTATCTATCGACAAAAGAAGTTCCAACAATATCATATGAAGATAATGCCGCTTGCATAGTTCCATTAAAGGAAGAATACATCAAAGTGATAATCTAGCAGATTTGTTCACCAAGGTGTTACCTACCACAACTTTTGAGAAGATGATTCATAAGATTGGAATGCGTTGTCTTAGAGATCTTAAATAATGCCTTCAACAGGGGAGACCAAAATGGAGATTAATGTGTGCAAGGAATATTGTACTCTTTTTCCTTTACTAGGATTTTTTTCCCACTCGGGTTTTTTCCTAGTAAGGTTTTAACGAGGCATGTTCCTTGTACAATGGACATTCAGGGGAAGTGTTATGAAATAATGAATATCCATCATCATGTTCATCCACTTTTCATATCCCCACTACTCATGATTCTTAATATGATTCAATTCATCATTCAATATAAGAAATTGAAATGGTGATGCAATTGATCATTCATAGTCCATTCTAATTCTCTCCTCAATTTTGAAGCCTATAAATAGGCTTGATTGTTCATTAGTTAGTGTACAAGTTTTCTAGAGAGAATAAGAGAAACTTTGAAGTTCTTATCACTTATATTCATATTATAATGATTTTATTTTCTTATCATCATTTTCTTCAATTCTCCTATTATTTCTATTTATTTTATAACAAAACAAAAGAAAAAAGGGCGTACAACTAAAAATAACCCAAAAAAAAAAAAAAACTGAAATAGAAAGTACAACTACATAATAATAAAAGCCAAAGTTCAAAACAGAAACACTGACACATTACTTCACGGCCTTTTCCTTTCCTTATTCTCTCCGGTCTGCTCTCTCTAAAGCGGATATAGGTGGTATAAAAGACATCATCATCCATCAATTAGAGAGAGAAAGAGAGGGAAAGCAGCAGTCTTTTTCTTTATCTATTCTCTTCTCTATTAGGGTTTTGTGTTTCAAAAACAATGATCGATTTTGCTCGTGTTCAAAAGGAGCTTCAAGAATGCAGCAGAGACATTGAAGCCTCTGGAATCAAAGTGGCAACTAAGTCCGACAATCTTGCTCGATTAACCGGAACTATTTCTGGTCCAATCGGCACTCCTTATGAAGGTGGCACTTTTCAAATTGATATCAATCTCCCAGGTAACATAATTTCCTGACTTAAAACAAACACTCTCATACGAGAAATTTTGATTTTCGTTTATGTTTAAGAGATAATTGATAGCTGAATTTTGATGGGTTGTTTTTGTTTTTATGAAATTGAGCTGCATTTGAGTGTTTGCTTATTGGATGAAAAGGAAAGTTGGGAAAGAAAAAGAACATACTTGAAGATTGAAATTGAAAATTTAGCTCATTTGTTTCCTTGTTGTAAGAGCAATTTATGAGGCTAGTTAGGGTGTTTAAATGTGTATCCATTGTTGTTATTAGGAAGATAAAGAAGAATTATAATGTGGGTTTTGGGGGGTTTTGATGTGAGTGTGTGTTTTCTATGTATTTGATATGGTTTTTTGTGGCAATCTGTTGAATTTCTAATGTCTTGTGCGTTCTTTGTGTCGCATTGTTACTAGTAGCTATAGTTGTTTGCCAGGGTGTTAGTTTAGCTGTTTTTGGAGTGGAGGAGGATATAAATACATGTTTTGACGTGCATTTGTAATGGTTTGTTCTTTTTGTAGATGGATACCCTTTTGAGCCTCCTAAAATGCAGTTTGCAACAAAAGTCTGGTAGGGCGAAAAGTTGGAGTAAGCTGATTTTATTTTCTGCAGTTTTATTTAAGAAGTATGTTAGTTTGTTATCTGCAGTTGTGCTATGAATGGTAGTCTTGAGAATGCAATATAAGACAATCTTATGATCATAGGGCTTCTGTGCTCTCAAAAACTAGATTTTTATGGCTTAAATTTCAATTGACATAATGAAACCAGATAAGGATGGTGATTCTTTTTATTTAAGTGAACTGAACAATACCATCACCTTTTAAATATAAATTGCTGAAGTAAATATCTGCCTGTTATGTATATGTTTGCTTCGATAGGTTCTGTTGGTTGTTCATTGATATAATCTTTAACTGCTATAGAACTCGTGTATGGTTTTTTGTTAGGGTATATATATTGGTTCATGTTACTTCAATCCCCAGCGTTCCCCTTTTCTGGTGGGTTAGCTTGAATTTCTTTGTCTGCATTTGCTTTCTTTTCCTTCATTTTTGGTGTTTTTGGTTTTCATCGCATCTTCCAAAAGCTAGACTTAGTACCATTGACCACCACCAAAGGGCTTGTAGCCCAATGGTGGGGGTTCCTTGTAACAAGAGGTCACGGGTTCAAACACTAGCAGACTAGTTCTGTTAGGAGCCTTGAGTGTGTGAGTTTTTTTTTTTTTTTAAAAAAAGTACCATTGACCACCTGACATCAAGGATTCAACTGGTTTTGTTCACTTCATGGTCCTAATTTATAGGCAATTTGCAGCTGGTTGGCTAGCATATGTTTTCATTAAATGTTGCATGGCCTTTTAGAAAGCTCTTTTTAAGCGAAGGTTTTAATCACCAATATTTAGGTGGACCACTCTCCTAATTAATTGGAGCGAGGAAGAAAGCAAAATATAATTTAAGCGTTGTTCATCTGTGTGAAATATGTGGTCTTCTGTTACTGTAAGGTCTTGATAACTTAAATCTCAATTTAGTTTTGTTGTTGCATCACGATGAGCATGAATTTTGAATTACCTGTATAAAGAGTTTTATTTTGCTTCAATCCAAGGGTTATGTGGCACACTAAATCATTTTTTGATGTCAATGCAGGTTGAAACTAACAATTTTTTAACTCTGATTTTAATTGGATCTGTCTCTTGAAGCATACCTAGGTTAATTTGCATCGATTCTCTTGGACACTGTAATAATCTATCTTTTGATCCCATTCTTTCCAAAACCCTTGCCTTTCCTTAATACTATCTTGAATGTGCTGTTATTAAGGAAAACTCTGTAGACAATGATAGGATTCTAAGCCATATCTGAACTGTGCCAAACCAAACCCAAATGCTTACTTCGAAAGTGCTCTTAATCACTTCTTTCTTGGCCTTCTCTCTCTCTCTCCAATCCAATAGCTAGAGAAGGTAGAGGAAGAAAAACCTTATGCCAAAGCTTCATGCTCACTTAAATACTCTTTTCCAAATCATGCTTTACCCTACTTCCTTCATGCCTGATCTGAATGCCATTGATTACCGTTACAACATGGCAAAACTCAATAGTTCGAATGAAATCCAATGAGAAAAAAGCTATTTGAAATTTAATATAATATGGACCTTATCTCCAGTGTATGCTGAATTTGGAGCTGCTGGGTGGCATTTTTTGTTCTTGACATGATCAGTCTTTACCTTTTAAAATTATCAGTTGGTTGCTAATTATTTATTAGTTGACACTGATAGTTGCACACCTTTTATTCGGTTGGCATTTGGCCTGATTGGTACTTTAATCATCATTTATGTTGTCATTTCCTGCTGAAGGCACCCTAATATTAGCAGTCAAAGTGGGGCAATCTGCCTGGACATTTTGAAGGACCAGTGGAGCCCAGCACTTACTCTAAAGACAGCACTTCTTTCTGTCCAAGCATTACTCTCTGCCCCTGAACCAGATGACCCTCAAGATGCTGTTGTAGCGCAACAGGTCTAGTTCTGCCATTCTTTCCTTCAAAGTCACTGATTATGTATTAAATACATCTCTTGGGTTTGGTTTATTTGCTTCTTGGAATGCAATATCTCAGAGGCTATGTGATTTTTTTTTTCATGGCTGCTATTCTGTTCAGCAGATTTTCTTCCCTGTTAAATTTCTTCTCATATTTAACTTGGTATCTGTGGATATTGCAGTATCTTAGAGACTATCAGACATTTGTTGGCACAGCTCGCTACTGGACAGAAACTTTTGCCAAGGCGTCATCGCTTGGGGTTGAGGAAAAGGTAACAATGTTTTAGTTTATATGCTTGTCTCTCCAATCCTGCAATTCCTCTAAATTCAAAGCAGGTAGCATTCCTAACATTACACATTTTTCTTTTATGTTAGAAACAATCTCTGTATATGTCTGTTAATACATCCAGAATGGCTGTTGTTAACCTAATATTTGTTGGCACAGGTTCAAAAACTTGTGGAAATGGGTTTTCCTGAAGCTTTGGCGAGAAGTGCACTAGAATCTGTTGGTGGTGACGAAAACTTGGCTCTTGAAAAGCTTCTTTCTGGTTAAAGATGGGACAGAACTGTCGGTGCTGAATAATTATACCCACATATAGTTTTTACTTAACCGGTCCTTTTCTTTGGTGGGGGAGGGGGGATTTGTTTCATCCATTTTGCCTGCCTTCTTGAATCTCTTCTACTGATATTGAATCTGCCTTTAACTTTATGGACGGAGTTGCTAAAAACAACTGTATTAATTACTGTTTAATCTATGGAGAAATCTTGGTTTTTGCACTTTCACGTTGGAATATATTACCTGGTGTTTTTTTCCCTTTCCTCTCTTGGTTCTAAGACACGCAATCACTTGACATACAGAATTCCTTCTACAATGGATCAAAACATGAGCTGCAACGTGGAGAGCACCCATATGTTGTCATGGGAAAAACTACAAGGGTTATTTTTGGTTTTCATAAGAGATTAAAATTTCAACTTGCAGTTGAAATGATGATATATCTATGTCAGGCTGAAACATGTTTACCAGGATGAAATAACACAAAATTTCAATGAATTTTGTTCACTTATGGAAATGAGCCGGAGTTTCAGAATTGTTCATCATATTATCTCGAGCTGACAATTTTATTTACCAGACACTGTCGAATTTCTGAATTTCAAGAGGATGACTGAAATATCATATCCTTTGAACCTTAGTGAGGTTTTTAATTTACCAATTTGTTTTGAGGATGCAATTGTGAACACCCTGTGGACTGAAGTCATGAAAGTTTTTGCAGATTCCCTCGAGAGTATAGTCAGGGGAATCATTTCCTTTTTTTTTTTTTTTTTCAAAGGGAAAATGCTCTCTCAAGAGTTATATTAGCATAATTTAATGAAAAAAGCATTGCGACTAAAAAAAACATATATATTTTTTTAACCAATGAAAAAGATATATTGAAATCCACAATTTAATGACTATTTTTTATTTAAAAATAAAAATATTTTTTAATAAAAATAAATTATTATATATTAATAAGATAAATAATAAATATTCATATTTTGAAATCATATTAATGAATACATAAATTTTTAAATTTTTTATTCTTACTCATTTTAATATTCATTAAAAAAAATTAATGAGTGTTTATTGAGGAAAATGAACCGGACACCAGCCAAAAGCCTGACCATTGCAATCCCTGTTTGGCCCATAACTACAGATACAAAACTTGAATCAGGCTTTCTTGAACTCTATAAATCTAAGAGCCGAACCTCTCAAAGACCCACCCTCCTGCTGCTAATCAAACTCGTTTTCGAAACCCTAACTCTCTCTTTATCTCAATGGCATCAAAACGCCTCCCTCCCGTTAAAGATCCACCTTCTGCTTCTAGCTCTGAATAAGAAGAGGAAGAAAACCGATCTCTCATTCGAAACCCTAACTCTCTCTCTGTTTCTCAATGGTACCAAAACGCCCCCTCCCGTTAAAGATCTACCTTCTGCTTCAACTTCCTAGTGGTGAAGAAGAAGAGTTATCTGACGATGAACAAACCCAACCCTCTCCTCTTCAACCACAAACCAAAATCAATCGAACCCAAAATTCAACACCCAAAGAACCCGAACTTACCACTCAACAATCGAATCTGAGGCCGAAACAGAATATGGGTTGGATTCAGAATCCGAATCGAACCAGATTGTCAAGCCTATAACCTCTAAACCCATGGAGTTGACCCCAAGAAAGGAGGCGGCAGCAGCCAAGGAATCCGAGTCTGAGAAGTCCGAGTACTCGAAAAAAGCGCTGAAGCAAAAATGGAGGAAGTTGCATGTAGCTGAATTGGATTTGTATTTCAATCAGAATGAATTGAAACGAGAGCAAGCAAAGTTAATGATGTCAGAGTTGAGTTAACTGACAAGGATTAGTGTGGTTGAGAAGATACATGTAGGTAAATGGGTAGTTTTGTTTAGGATTCGTTATTAGCATTAAGTTTGGAATGTTTAGCTTTTTGGATGCTTAATCTTCTTGGACATTCTGAACTTAATTCCAATAATGAAACTTAAACAAAAAGGAACTACTAACAAGACCATTTACTCCAACAATAAAAAAAACCCTACATGTACTCAACTTTAAAACTGACATCATTAACTTTGCTTGTTCTCGTATCAATTCATTCTGTTTTAAATGTAACTCCAATATTCAGCTACCCGCAACTTCCTCCACTTTTGCTTCATTTCAGCCTTATTCGTTCCATGGATGAAATTCAATCCACTCCTCACAACATAATCATCATCAGAAATTCTGGATTATTTCGACTATTTTGTTATCAATGAGTTGCTAGTTTTATTATTCTTGAATGTAGTTGCTAGATTTCTTATGATGATTTGAACATGTGGGTGATTGATCAATTCTATTAATGCAATTTGATTATATTGGTTTTCAATCTTGTAAGTAAATGGCCATTATTTATGTGTTTAAAGAATTAAATGATGTAGCGAAAGTGGAAGTTTAATTTTATTAACGCAATTAGGGTGTAATTTGATGATTTTGGTTTTCAATTTTGTGAGTAACTGGTCATTATTTTGTGAGTAAACGATGGAGTGAAAGTAGAAGTTTAATTTTAGTTCATGAAAGCATCAAATTTTGGTAGTGTTATTTCTGTGATCTAATTGATAATTTTCATTGAGCATAATGAGCTTGTGTTAAAATCTATAATCACGAATGTAAGTATGGTTGTTGAGTCTTGACAGAGATAATCATGTATGTCAGGGAAATTGATCATTACCATTGACAAAAATGGAGTCACTTAATCTGGTTTGGAATTCATTGTAGGGGTTTAATTAACGAACTCTGAGTCCTAGAACTCGTAAGTTTTAAAATAATCTTGGTTAAATCGGTTCATCGAGATAATAGGGCATTGGTACTTGAATATCTTCTTTGTGAAAATGATAGGCTTACACATATGGAATACATATTTTCTTAAAGAGACAAAAATATTAACAATGTCCATTCTATTTTTGGATAATCATTTCCATTTTATTAAATTCCTACTTAGTAGCATATGTTTATTGTTGAACTTAAAAGGGTTACACGTACGTACAATGGCATTGATCAACCCACAAATGGGGATAAACATAATAATTCAAAAGACACTAAGCTTCTGCAGAAGCATAATTTACCTGTAAGACAATTCAAGAGCAGTGATAAATAGTGACTCTTCTTGGATGAGGTGGTTGACAAACAATGAACAGCATCATTGCCATGACAAGAGCTAACACGAGCCCTAGCATCATATCTTCTGATGCGAAGCAGCACTCCATCTCTTACACCTTCAAACTCCAATTCTAGCTATCACCTCACTTACAATGGAGCCAAGAAGTGATCTTAAAAATAGCAGAAAGGTTCGAGGCATTGATTCATATCCACGAAAAAACCAAGAGATCAATGGCATGTGTGTGGCTCCAAATGTGGCTCTTTCGCTTCCAATTATTTGGCTTTGGATGCTTGTGATCCGTTTCGTGCTTTTTGTCTTAACCCTGATACTGGGGACTGGAAGTTTCTACTGCACATGTGGTTGCCTCTGCACACACAAAATCTTACCATCTAAGAAAGTAGTATTTTTAATATTTTAATTTACTTGTCTCTACAGAAGAAAAATAATAACCCTTCCTTCCTTCTAGCTGAGTGAGGCCCAGTTCATTTTGATGAAAAAAAGAGAGGCCCAATTCACTGCTAATGGTGATAATTGATGCAAGTATAAAGGCATGATATAGGGCCATTCAATTCAACTTTCTATAAAAATGTAAGAATTATTAATTGAAAGCATGAAATTTATAATATAAAGAAAAGAATAGCCTACAGATCATCGAAATTAAGAAGCTAAAACTGATGTTTTCTGGCATGATTAAGCTGTTAGAATGTATTAATTTCGTGGCCGCTTTAGCACCAATTTGAAGTAGACGTTCAGTACATTAATTATGCAAAATACTGCTAAAAAAAAAAAAAAAGAGAGAGGCTAGAAATCTTTTATGATCTCTCCCTCGCCATTTAAGGTTAAGACTATGGTTATTTATGTCCTCATCAGAAAAATAAAAGAAATTACACTGTGTGAGATTAGAAGAAGTTCCATGAATTGAGGTCAATTAAAATTTAGCTGATGCCATAATCTAATCAGACACGAGAAAAGTACTAATGATAAGTTCAATTTTAACAAGTAAAAGACCAATTAGTTCTACCTTGTATTTTTTTTTTTCCTTCAATGATTTCTTACCAAAGAGTTCAATTGCTTTTCTAAACAAAATAAATAAATAAAAATAATATAAAGAGTCCAATTGCTTTTGTACTGTCTAAGATACTCCATCAAAGAAAATTATTTGTTTACCTCTTAATTACCTACTTTTATAAGAGAATTTTTTATCTTCTTTTAGCACATTCTCCAAGTTCTTTAGCATAAAATCTTATCCAGGACTTGTAACTCTGTTTAATTTCCTAAAAAATAATTATTAAAAGTAAAAAATTCCATACTAGAAAAAAAAAAAAAAGGAATATTCAACAGCAACTTCACTAACACAATTAATACTGTTTTCTATAAATGACATCAGATTTGTTTTAATAAGGAAAGTGAGTACATGAACAATTTGAATAAGAGTAGTGCTATATGACACCAATGGTGTAAAAAAAAAGTCACCATAGTTTTATAAGGGTAGTGTTTTTTTGAAGAAATACAAGAAAGAGTACTTTATTTTAATGGATAGTATGTCATTTAATATTTTTATTTTCTCAATTTACCTCTAAACCTTTTCTATTTTTAGAAATGTCATTATGATGTCACTAAACATTTTCGTTTGAATAAATATTGGAAGTTAATATTTTTGAGCTATTAATTACTTGAATATTTATGGGTAAGAGAATCAATTCAAATGGGTTTTGTAATCAAGAAATTAAGCATCATCTAATTAATGTGCGCGAATATACGAGTATGATCAATATAAAGGATTTGGCCACTTATTCATGAATACGTCAAGCTTGAAACGAGTGATACTATAAAGATACGGGAACCAATGTGTTGAGTTTTTTTTTTTTTTTTTGCT